AGAATAAAATGGATCATTGTAAATAAATAAAATTACGTATAAAAAGCATAGAGAGGTTGAAATTTACTATAAAAAACCAAATGACAGGATATCATATGTAACCTTACTAAAAGTTTGGACAAAAAATAAATAGGATTATTAAATATTCCTCACCGGAACCTTTATACACAAATGTATTAAACACCGAGTTTTTGCAAACTCTGGGTGACTCTATTAAATCTGATTTCACTTGATAGATTTGTGAGTTTCTCAGGAAATGGAGTGACTCGGAGAGTCAAACTGTCCTTTCGAGAGGAGGTGGGACCAACATCTTTTGTAGATGAAGAATATAGGAAATCGCGTCGGAAATCGTGTCTAGATTATTAGATTATTGTTGTCGCGGCATGGGCACGCGGGAGAGGGAACGAGCGAGAGAGCGATGGTGCGAGGCGAGAGAGCGATGGTGCGAGCGTGAAACCGACCACTCAACGCCGAGGACTATTCGGTTGTAGGGGTGAAAGTAGTGAATGTCGCGGTGCATGTCCGTTTAATATTGCACATTGGCCCCACTTTTCCCACAATGTAACTGAATTAATACTTACAACAATGTAGTTCCTTGCTTGTAAACCTACTCGCGTTTGGCCAGTTTTACAAAAAGGGGAGGGTCTCGATGGTCACGTCGCGGGGGTATTCCGCTGGCGGACACAGCGGATACGGTCATTGGTTTATGATGTTTAGCGTGTATTGTTTGTTGTTTTTACTTTTTCCAAGCGGTGAATAAGTAATAAAATTCTTTTTTTATTTCTTTTTTTTTTTTATATTTATGATAAAAAAAAACCCATTGACAACCCCGGGGGATCGGTCGCCGCGAGTATAAAGACATCGCCGCGACCGCGGCGGTGATAAACATATATGCCCTTTGTGACTAACATCAAACGAAGTCGACACATGATAACGGAATGTAAAAATATTAAATAAAATTCTCTGGTTTTATTCTCTCCAGTTAACGTCTACTAGTTGTAGGGGGTCTACCACCACGGCTTGCTTGTTTAGAGTGACCTTAATATTTTTCACATATCAATCGTATTGCGGGGGATTAATTACGACAACACGACACACGTCCTTCGTGGACTTTTTCACATACCCTTATTCATTTGGTACACTAGACAACGTCTTTTTTTAGATTTTGTCTTCAATACAAACGGTAAATCTTATTAGTCCAAAAGTACGTTCCGTCACAACAAAAATAAAATAAGCTACATTTATTTGTTATTGGCTATGGTAGGTTATTGGTTATGTTCACATACTTATTTGATTATTAAAATGCAAACCGATCTTTTTCATATGGGCGTTTTAGAGTTGTACCCCCTAGATCAGGTCTCTAGTAAGTGTGTGCTCAAAGTGCACCAGATTGAAGCATTTTGCTGTAAAATGTTCAAAAAATCTTCCCGGGGGGGGGTTATACCCGGACCCCCCTAGAGGATCTGACGTCCACCCCCCAATTCAAACATGTTCATACAATACTGAATACATTTGAAGCCATTTTGACGTATATGACCTATGTCAATAAGTTTCTGTTTTTGTAGTGTATTTGTCTTTTGTAGAAATTTTTCATTTATTCTTTACACATAAAATGTCACCTAGGGCAGCAAATTGTCTAGAACCGGCCCTGGTACTAGGCCTCAAGAGCCTTTCTTGTGCTGACACATAGAAACAAATTGGCGGGGCGCACTTCGCACGCGCACACACTAAAAATTCCACACGCTCCGCGCTCACATTATGCTGGGCCCACGTGCCTTAGCACCGCTGCTAAGACTCCATCCTAGGGGAAACACTGTACATGAGAAACTTAATGGCCATATGTACATTTACTTATATTTAGTACACTGGGAAATGTGTTCATTTTTACATTGAATATTGTGATTTCATTTTCAGTAACATACTATTAGATATATTTAGAAGAGAAGCTTTTCGTATTCCTGCACATACACTCGTTCAAATTGGGAATGCATAATTAATTGAAATTGTATCGAAATTGCAAGGTAGAGCAGGTTTGTTACAGGCTAAATGTGTTTTCATGTCATTTTTAAATGAAGTTATGTTGAGATGCAGAGATGTTTGGGCCTACAAATCGTATTCTACAGACTTAACAAAACATTGTATGTTCTCCTAAAAACATAGAACAATAATCATTGAATATATTTGTCTAACTATAATGACAATTATTCTTCAAAAATAGTAATCGCAATTAGTATTTTTTTCCAATTTTTGCAGCCATTGCCCAAATGCAGTTCAACTACTCATTGATCTGGTCAAAGTTTGATCAAATATTTTAGAACATGTTCCTATGGATGGCAGATATGTTATTTAGTGGCTGATTAACAGTGTGTTTACCATATCCATAATGATCTCATCAGTCTTTTTCCCTTTACAATTATATTACGTGATTTTTGTCTTAGGGCCTAAATTCCCTTAGGGATACATTAAACTTTATAACATATGTTTATGTGTGCTGCCAGAGATGTATGGGGACGGTTTTCTCTGTACCATTCAAAGTGGATGCGGGGTGTACCGCATCTGAGCGGAGGAGGCCTGTGCCGGCAGCTGCTGCTTCTTTTCAGCGGGACATCCCATTGACTAAGAAAAGCCTCCCTCCCTCCCTCCCACCACACAGGAGCGAGGGACCCGGCTATTGTCCCAATGAGAACAAAGATGAATGTATAAGTAATGAGGGCCCGGCCTCGCTATGCTACCCAAAATACCACTATATCTAAAAAGTTAAAGTGTATGTGTTTACCGCTCCTGGCTGAACGCCGCGCTGTGCAGGACTCAGGAGGGATGCCCTATGGTCCACACAAGCTAAAACAGCAAAGAACACGTCTCTAAGAGGAACCCAGAAACATGTTAAATTATTATTATGAATGTGACAAAATAAACGTTAGTCAGACATAACAAGACGTTAGACGACCGTTGGTGCATCACCGGGTTGGTGGCATTGTTTAGCTAACGTTAGCATGGAGCTAAACACAACTTAACGCCACTGGAGTGACTAACTCCGCTCACGTCCCAGGTTAGGTGCTAGCTGTGTTGGTGTGGGAGCGGGCGGCTGTGTGGGAGTAGAGAGCTGGGGCTCTAACAGCGTTAACACCCCATCAAACGAAGACAATTGTGGAGCTTATGGGGCTCCCTCGTGATGAACATGGGGAGGCGACGTGGTTCTCCAAAACGGGTTAGCTTATTGGCGGCTAACACTAAGTATGACCAGATTAGCTTTATAAGCATTAGCACTGCATAGCATTAGCACTGGCAGTTAAGACAGGCCGAACATCCGATAAGCCACTACGGGAAAGGTCAACTCACCATTGGAGAGATTGATGAGAGCAGCATCCTGTGTGCTCTTCACTTCCAGCCGCAGGGGCTGCTGCTCTGAATGTCGCTGTATGTCTCCATTCGCGTCTCCGATGGAGAGGAGCCGCACGCCGGGGAACACCGAGACCGCCATCTTCGATCTGGAAGTGGAGACAGGTCGATGGCGCTCACATCCAACCCAAGCCCCCAGGAAGTGCGCCGGACTCTGAGGAAAATATTAGTTGTGGCCAAACGGCGGTACTACACTTCCGTATCAGTCGCTGGGCCCGGAAATACTTTTTACCATTGACTAACATTGAGAAAGAGACGTCTGTAAATCGTTGGATAATTTTTTTTAAACTAAATAAACTACCCAGTATGAACATTTGTATAGCTCTTATTAACAACATTCGGTCCTCAAGTTGTAAAATGTCCTAATAACGTTATTCTGAGAGTTATTTTCCTCGGCATTATGAAAGCGGATCTAACCCACGGGACCGCGCCGCCCGGCACGTTCATGTGAAGTGTTTAGTACTACATGAGTTTTACCCATAGACAGCCCATAGACTGTTGTACCGCTATCCATGGATGCACAATAAGAACGGGTATGATTATATGAATACTTTCGTGACGTTTCGCTCTCTCAAAAGTTGGGCCATTTTGTATTCATGCGCCAATGAGCAACTCTCATAAGAATGAACGAGGCCCCGCCTCCCACGCTGTATCCATGATCCAACCACGCACTGCTCTCTGCTGGAGGCATGGCTGGAGCGGCTGGAGGCAGCGGGCCATGGGCTTCGCTCCAACAGCGCTGCCTGGCGGTCAGACGCGGCATGTCATCCTCTCACTTTCATTTTACACAAGACTTTTACCTACCAGAGGTCCAGATATACCGTAAGAAAAACCAGTGTATTAGTCCATGGGCCAGACCAGATTTTGGTACCACTCA